CATCAATTTCGTCACAATTTTAAAAAAAATTAAAAATATGTTGAATAATATTGGATAAATTCGATGAGCTTACAGATAAATTTTTAAAAGCTTATATATTTTCAAATTCATAAATTTCAACCCAAATTTCAAACTTATAAGTTTCAATTAAATTTAAGGTTTATTTTTTAGTTAAATTTTGATAAAATTAAATTTTAATTTATTAATTTTTTTTATAAAATCATGAATGATAAAAATGTTTCTTTGTAAATTTAAAAAAATTATAAATATTCCAATTCACAACATTTTACAAATTTATGAATTTATGAATTTATAAATCTGTGGGATTTACATATGGTGCATTGAATAAGTAAAAAATAATTTGTTAATTTACTAAAAAAGTAATTTGTTAAAAGTTAATAATTATTGGATTTTTTTAAATAAAAAATGGGTGCATTTAGAATTTTTAATAAATGTAAATAGAATAATTCCAATTCTAGTAAAAATTTGATATGATTTTTAAGGGTTTATGTAAACTTAATAATTTTAAATATAATATGATAATATCACATGAAAATAATGTAAATAAAAAATATAAAAATAATGCAATTTAAAATTTTAACAAAAATCATAAATATATATAATATAATTAAAAAATATTTTTTATATTTTTGTATCGATATGAATTATGATATGTAATTTTTATATAAAATATAATATTAATATATAAATTTTTACTATTTTACATGATACAAATATATAAATTATCAAATCTAAATTTATCTATTATGTCATGGCTAAAACATTAAAAGACTATGCATATTTTTTTATAAAGGATTTGACAGCTATATCATTTAATTTAAAATATTAATATAATTTAAAATTTTAATAATAAATATATATAAATTTAATAAAATTTAAAAATATATTTTATATTTTTATTAATATAAATCATAACATAATATTTATATAAGTATAATATAAATATATATTTTAATATTTTAATTTATGAACGCAAATAATTAGATAACTCATGAGAGAAAAGAAAAAGTTTTGATTTGAAATTCGAGTGTTTTGTGTTTTTACAAGAGCTCCTTAGTCGAATAAAGGAGACGTGAACTGTATATGTATCGTACTGATGGAGTGATGCTATATAAGAGGTTAAAAATAAGGACTTTGGTATAATTTACTCAAAAATAATACTTCACCGATAGAAATCATGTGCCACAGCGCACAAGTGCACAATCGAGACCCAGGGATCGTACAATGGAGACCACCTGGCCGTCCTTTAGTTGCGCTTTAGTTTGACTTGCCGTGAGAATTATTTGGTGCAATCGTGCTATATCTTGTTCATTAAGTGCTGTGTCTAGTGTGATTGTATTAAAAAACAAAAGAAAATCGCTAATCTCACCGAGGTTGCAGTCGATTTCAAATGTAACTTTGTTGTTTGTTTTGCTTCGTATCATCAACTAGATTGTAATTCATGTACGAAGTAATTTTATTTATTTTATGTATATATATAAATAAATATTTTTTAAATTATATTTAAAATTTTAAAATTTATAATATATAAAAATTTTATATTTGAATGATTTATTATAAAAAAAATTATTTTAAAAATATAAAAATGATATATTTTTTCTTTACATTATATTTTTATTTTACATCATCTTTATTTGTAATAATATTTATATCAAATACAAATAAATTATATATATTTTTAAAACAAAACATATATATTATCAAATAATAAATTAAATAACAAAATATAAAATATAAACAAAAAAGCTTGGAGCCTATCAACCATGAACGTTTTCACATAATTAGTACATAGATAAAAAACCAAATTAAACAAGAATAAAACGCATATAATACAATCAAACATTGAAAAGTGTTCCCCAGAGCTATTGTTCTTCTACATGAAATCTTAGCCAGTCAAAGGAGAATCCAGATGGAAAGATAATCCTGTCATTCCTACTTAAATTATTGAACCGAAGATGAGAATGTGGCGTGTCCTCCCTATTTGTTTAAGTGGTTTTTATCAGGATGGTATAAATTTCATTTTCATTGAGAAAAAAAAAAATTAAGATAACAATCTCATAGCAGGTGCCTTATAGATGATTAACGATAAATGATAAGTATAAATTTTATTTGTGTTATATTTATTATTTTATTAAATTAATGTTTTTAATTAAAATTATATTTAATTTAATACCGACCTCTCAATTATTTTGGATTAATTTTTTGGATCATTTTAATTTTGAATAATTTTGTTCATTTTGAGTTCATATTGATTTGAATTTTAATTAATTTGAGTTGGAATTGTTTTTAATTTTCGTCTGGATCGGTTGAAATAGGTGAATTGAGTGTGTTTTTGAGGTTTGGACTAAAATTAATAGATTTAATTAATCTCATTTAATGAAATTAAATTTAATTATGTGATTTAAAAAATTTATGAATTTATTTATAATAAAATAAAAAATTATAAATTTATTTGCATGTAATAAAATATAGAGGATATATATTTATTTTGTATAAAAAATTTAGTGCATACTTGAGTATTAAGTCAAAAAGAAGAAATAAAGTTAAAAAAAGACATGCTGGTTTCGTTCTTACTTGTTATCCCATGAAAGAGGGGGTATTTTTGGCATAACATAAATTACATGTGATGCACGTCCCCATTTTAACTCCAATTCTTACGGAATCTTGATGTGGGGATCTATTTGTCATATCTCATTGTTAAATATTTAGAGATGTAAATTTATCATACTAATAGAGTTAGGTTGAATTAGTACTAAATATCAAGGACTTTAGTGTAATTTAGTGAAAATACTTTTCCGTGAAGCAAGTGTGCTCAATGGTGTATTAGTCTTGACCTTTCATGCTCTTTCCCAAACAACACACGATTATTGGATTTGATTCCCTGTTTTTCAACCACCACCCCTTTAGGTCAGTCTACGGCTCAATTTCTCAAACTTTATTGGTTTAAAACTCATTTCCATTGTTTTCGTCTGTGATTATTTGATTAAGATAATTTAATTTTTTGGTTTTCATTATTGTTGTTTTTGTTCTTTTGTGTTTTTTCAGGGAGCGTTCTTTCGGTTGCTGTAGGGTCACTAAGCGTAGCAGTGGGATAAAGGCAAAAAAATCTTTATCATTTTTTAAAAAAATTTGATAAAAGATATACATTTTTTGTATTAAAATAACAATTAGTTTTTATTTAAAATAAAATTTTAAAATAAAAAACAAAAAATAAAAAGAGAAGTTTGTATCTTTTAATTTCAAAGGAAAAAAAATAAAAGCAAAGGTATTTTTGGAAACAGTAGGAGTGGTGGGAATGGAAAAGCCCTCTAAACCTCCTTCCTTCTACTGGGATTTTTGAATTGCGGTGAGATACATTGTGTGCAATCATATTATTTTTTTTATTTCTAAATGCTTTGTTTAGTGTGATTAGACAAAAAACAATTGGTAATCTCATTGAAACCAGTTTACGGTAGATTTCAAATGCAGTTTTATTATTTGTTTTGCTTCGTATCATCACTATTGTCATAATTCAAAAAAATTTTTAAAAATATTTTGAATGATATTTGGGTAAATTTGATGAGCTTACAGATAAATTTTTAAAAGTTTATAGATTTGTAATATCATAAATTTCAATCGAAGTTTTAAAATTACAAGTTTCAACTAAATTTAGAGTTTGCTTTTTGTTAAATTTTAATAAAATTAAATTTTGAATGCAAATAGAAGTTCTTTAACTCGAATTTGAATGTAAAAGAAACTCCTAACTTCAATTCTAATAGAAACTTGATATGATTTATGAAGATATATTTATCATATGATTACTTAAACTTTGGATGATGATGTATATTTTTTTATATATAAAGTTAGCTTACAACTCATACAATACATAATTTATTTTATCTATTTAAATATATATAAACTAATATTATTTAAAAAATTATATCAAAGTCTCCAATATTTATAAAATATAAAATTTATATACAGAATCGATATCTCATAAAATATTAATTTTTTAAAAATAAACTTAAATGTAAAAGAATATTCTATAGATTTTTCATTCCTTTTAATGATTGTAAACAAATATTATTGAATTGTGAATTACATCATAAAATAAATATTTACATACCTTCAGTCTTGTATTCTTAATCAAAGTGTTGAACAAAATATTAAAACAATTAGCAGATGTCTATCAAAAGAAAAATGAATTGAAAAAAAAATATTACTTGAAAAAACTTAGAAAGAAAAGTTGCAAATAATATTATTATTGGATGGTAATTAGGATGCATATATATATATTTATATATATATATATCAAATTTATAAGTAATTTTGAATTTTAAAAGGTGATCTGTGTGTTTTAAAATTAAAAAAATTAAAAGATTAAAAGATTATATGAAATTTTATAAAAATAAATATCTTATTTGAGATTTTTGGATTTAGATATTTTTATTAATTTTATTTTTTTAATTTCAAATTATTATGACAACTTAAATTTGATTTTAAAAAGATCAATACTGTAATTTCATGTTTTCACGCAACTAACCTGCAATCCAATTTTTTTTTTACTCATTAGTTTTGATTAATTTTAATAGGATAACTTTAAGTATTTTCAAAATTTAAATTTAAGGATGTGATATTTTCTTTTAATTTTTGATTGCATAATAATTTCATATATTATTTTATGTGTTAAAAATATAAGTTATTCATGTATACATTAACATAATATATCTTATTATATATTTATGTATTTTGTGCTATAATTTTATATATAATGAGCATAACTCAGAAAAAAATTTTAATTTAAAATCCAGAATTTTATGTCCTGTTGGAAGTTTCTTAACTATTAAACCGAGGAAATTGAGAAACGAATATTTATCATACTAATGGAGGGATATTAAATTAGTGGATAACATCAAGGACTTTAGTGTAATTTACTAAAAAATAAATTATAAATAATCATGTTCCCATTTCTTTCTGAGTCTCACCTTTTCGTACTATTTTGCAGAAAACACGCAATTCTGAGTTTTGATTCTCTGTTCTCTCAAACAACCATCGCTTAAACTCTTTCTACTGCTGAATCCTCAAGCTTTATTCACCAAAAAAGAAAAAAAAAATCCTAAAAAATTCTCCTGTAGGTTCTCTACTCCTTTGATATTAGTACTCAAAGTAAGGATAGGAAGAAGCTGTAGCCAACCAATCTTTTGATCCCTAAGACAAGGACAGAGGTATGTTTGTTCAAACCCATTTCCACTGTCTTCATCTCTGATTATTTGATTAAAATAATTTTTTTTTTGGGTTTTGAGTATTGCTGTTTCTATTGTTTTGGGTTTTGTCAGTGAGCGTTCCTCCCTGTTTTTTTATTGTTTGTTCTGCTTCATATCATCAATTTCCTACCAATTCACAAAAAAAAAAAAAGGAAATCACATAATTTATTTTAAATTTCATGATTAAAATTTAATAATATAATTAAAACATAAATGTAACATATATATACGCAAATCAATAGTTTGTTTTGTATATTTTATTTTAAATCACATGATAATTGATAATATATAATATAAGAGATTATATAATTTATTTTAAATGAAATATTAATATGTAAATATATCATAATAATTCAAAATATATAATTTATTTTAAATCATATTATAAATTATAAGAAGTTTTCAAGTAAACATAACCTATATAATTTATATTAGTTTGATATTAAAAATATATATTAATTTGATATTTTAATAACTTTAATGAGTTATCATTTATGTTATATTTATTATTTTATTAAATTAATGTTTTTAATTAAAATTTCCGACAAAAAACCATGTCCCACAGGCTGCATACGCACAATTGAAGACCCAGGGGCAGGCATTCGAGGCCAGCTGGTTGTTCTTTTCATTTAATAGTCTCGGCTTTTCATGCTCTCACACAATTATTGGTTTTGATTAAAGGTAAAGGCGAAAGATCCTTTTCATTATTTAAAAATCAATAAAAGGTAAGTTTTATATTAAAATAATAATTAGTTTTTATTTAAAACAGTTTAAAAATAAAAGAAAAAAACCATTTTTGGAAATAGTAACAATGATGAAAAAGCCCACTAAACCTCATTTCTTCTAGTGGGATTTTTGAATTGTGGTGAGATTTATTTTGTGCAATCATATGCTTTTTTGTTTTTTAAATGCTTTTTTCAGTGCGATTAGAAAAAAATTGTTAATCTCACCAAAATGAGGTTACGGTGGATTTAAAATGCAGCTTTGTTATTTGTTTTGTTTCATATCATTATTATTATCATAATTCAAAAAGATTAAAAAATATATTTTAAATGATATTAGGGTAAATTTGATGAGCTTACAAATAAATTTTTAATATTTCATGAACTTGTAAATTAAAAATTTTAATCCAAATTTTAAAATTTCAAGTTTCAACTAAATTTAAGTTTTGTTTCTTTTAATTTTGATTAAATTAAAATTTGGTCTATTAAATTTTTTTATAAAATCATAAATGATAAAATGTTTTTCATAAATTTAAAAAACTTACAAATATTTAAATCCATAAATTTTTATAAATTTATAAATTTATGAATTTGTAAATCCGTTGGATTTAAAATTGGTTCACCGAAGAAGTAAAAAATAATTTGATAGAAATTAACACCTATTGAATATTTTTATAATAAAAAAATTGGATTCGACGGGTATTTTTAAAATTAAAAAAAGTTCTTAACTTCAATTCTAATAAAATTTTAATGAGATTTGTGAGAATATATTTGTCATGTCATGCTAAAACTTTCGAGGATGACAGCATTTTTTTTTTTGGTATATAAGACGGGCATAAATTATGAAAAAGAAAAAAACCAAATCAAAATTTTATGTCTTCTTAATGCCTTTTTACTCGCTACGTAAAAAGTTGACAAATGTATATTTATCATGCTGATAAATTGATGTTGAATTAGTGCTCAGTAACAAGGATTTTGGCGTAATTTACTAAAAATAATACTTTACCGACAGAAATCATGTGCCACGGCCCACAAGTGCAGAATCATTTTTTTTTCCTTTTCTCTACTTTTTTTTCTTTGTTTTTGCACAAATCTTCTATTTGCTTCGTAGGTGTCTTGTTGTAGCACCAGCTGCACCGTGGCTACTTCAGGTAAAGCATTCTTGTTCGGCACTAAGTTCAGTTTAAGGTTTCTCTCTTTGAAAGGCTTGATTGAATTTTTATTATAACTATTGGGCTAAAAGCCTCCAATCCAATCACACCAGCGGAAGTAAAATCAAACAATAAATTAAACACACAAGAGACAATAATTTAACGTGGTTCGGTCCAACTGACCTACATCCACGGATGAGAAATAAGATCCACTAGTTATAGAGAATTACAAACATACATCATATCATCAATCTCACTCAACAATCAATACTCATAAGACACTCTCAATCTCCTCTAGTCCTATGAAGTATTCTCTACCCAAACAAACACAAATCCAAACTCTTGTGCACCTTTTCAACACAACCAAATACATACCCATATGTTCCTATACATCATACCTATGTGGACTCTCTTAATCTCCTCTAGTCCACTCACAAACAAACATACACACCCATAAGACGTAGAGCCCAAATACTCCTATGGGGTGTCTATCCCACAAAATCTTACTTTTTTACATCTTTTTCTCATACCTAACCCTGTAGAGACTTCACCTATTTATAACCATACAAACTTGCCCATTAAGAATCTCTCACCTCTTAGAATTCTTCTCCTGTAAGTCAAACTTGCCTATTAAGAATCTCTTTCCTTTTAGAATTCATCTCTTGCAAGTCAAACTTACCTATTAAGAATTCTCTTTCTCTTAGAATTCTTTTTTTGCAAGTCTTCTTGTCCATCAAGCATTATCTGATAAATCTCAAATAAATCCCAAACAAATCTCTTATGGGATTTGAGTCAATATTCCCAACAATCTTCACCTTGACTCAAATTCCATTAATCATCTGTCTTCATGCTAGACATGCTTGGCTCTACCTGCAATGAAAGTCTCACAATCATCTTCTCTTGTGTCTTCACGCTTCATACAAACCAATCCTCAATCTTAAACTCGTGAATCGAGCTCCTCTAAGCTTACTTCTTCCCATATCTCAAACCAAGCTCTTCCCATATCTCGAACTGTCAACTCTTCCCATGTCTCGAACCATCGGCTCTTTCCACATCTTGAATCTTCAACTCTTCTTACGTTTCGAACCTTCAGCTCTGATACCATTTGTTGGGCTAAAAGCCTCCAATCCAATCACACCAGCGAAAGCGAAATCAAACAATAAATCAAACACACAAGAGACAACAATTTAACGTGGTTCGGTCCAACTGACCTACATCCACGGATGAGAAACAAGATCCACTAGTTGTAGAGAATTACAAACATACATCATATCATCAATCTCACTCAACAATCAATACTCATAAGACACTCTCAATCTCCTCTAGTCCTATGAAGTATTCTCTACCCAAACAAACATAAACTCAAACTCTTGTGCACCTTTTCAACACAACCAAACACATACCCATATGTTCCTATACATCATACCTATGTGGACCCTCTCAATCTCCTCTAGTCCACTCACAAACAAACATACACACCCATAAGACGTAGAGCCCCAATACTCCTATGGGGTGTCTATCCCACAAAACCCTACTTTCTTACATCTTTTTCTCATACCTAACCCTGTAGAGACTTCACCTTTTTATAACCATACAAACTTGCCCATTAAGAATCCCTCACCTCTTAGAATTCTTCTCTTGTAAGTCAAACTTACCTATTAAGAATCCCTTTCCTTTTAAAATTCATCTCTTGCAAGTCAAACTTACCTATTAAGAATCCTCTTTCTCTTAGAATTCTTTTTTGCAAGTCTTCTTGTCCATCAAGTAATATCTGACAAATCTCAAATAAATCTCTTATGAGATTTGAGTCAATATTCCCAACAATAACTATATCAAATAATTTATTATATATGATGAGCTTTGTTTGCTCTAGAGTCTTGCTTGTCCTAATGTTGCACCAAAATGGTGTTCCACGAAAATTGACCTCGAGCTTTGCTTGTCCTATGTATGGTTTATTTGTTTTGCAAGCCTTTGTTTTATTTGTCAGTGATTATTTAGTATATCTTTTGAGCTCAATTTTGTTATAAAAATTAGAATTTTTTTTATGAATATCTTAAAAATTAACATGGTAAAAAATATTTTCCATGAAATAATTCAAATAATAAAAAATATTTTTTTCGTGTCATCCAAACAACAAAAAAATATTTGATTTTCTAAAAAATATCTTCCACAAAAAGCATCTTCTTTCATGAAATCAGTTTCTAGTTATCAAACGAAGCAATAAACCGACCACTCTCTATGACAATGGACTTTTTTTTCTGCAAACTTTTAGAACGGAGGATTTTATTTAATTATTTCTCCAAGAAAAGGTATAGAATAATTATTTTACTTAGTTGTTACTTTTTGCATGTATACATCTGTTAAGATTCTATACAACTTGAAAAAAAAAAAAATGCAGTAGGTAAGATTGTCTTTTTTTTTTTTCTAAAACAAATAACGTTGATCGTTTTTGTTTAAAAAAAATTAGTATGGATCTTTCAACTTCTAAAATCAATATATATCATCATTCTTTTAAAGGAAATGTTAAATTGCTGCGTATTGACATTAGTTGAAGTGATATTTTTATAAAAATATTATAATTAATGTATTAATTTCTTTTTAAATTTGATAAATTAATTATCAAATGAAAAACCATTTTTTTAGATTAATTATGAGGGGTATGTTAACAATATTCTTTAATTCTCAAAAGAAGTGGTTTTTTTTATTATTTAAATAATTGTGATCCTTTTCAAAATTTCTAACCCGTATAACTTCATCAATGACATATTATATTATCATTAAAATTTATATTTGATACATTATTAATATATAAATTTTATACATTATCAATAAATCAGATAATGATACTTCATTATTGAGTAAATATCAATACTTAAAATAAATGTACATAAATTAAAATATTTTTAAAAAATATTTATTAATAAAGTGTTATCATATGATTTATTATTAATGAGTTATTATCATTTGATTAATTATCAGTATATCAAACATAAATCTTTACCATTATGTTATAATTTTGAATAAAAATTTTTTATTGTCCAAATGCAATTAATATCTTTAAAGTTTATCATGTTATCTAGATAAATCCCTATACTTTTATTACACTCAAATAAGCCCTTAAAATTTAATTTGCATCTAAATAAACTCATAACTTTTAACTTATATCCAATTAAGCCCTTAACTTTTAATTTGTTCATAAATAAGCTTTTAATATAAATAAATTTTTTGTTTGAAATAAGAGCCTAGTTAGATACAAATCAAAAGATAAAGTTTATTTGGGTATAATAAGCCCTTAACTTTTAATTTGTTTCTAAACAAACTCTTAATATAAATAAATATTTTGTTTGAAATAAAGGCCTAGTTAGATACAAATCAAAAGGTAAAGTTTATTTGGGTATAATAAGCCCTTTAATTTTTAATTTGTTTCTAAATAAACTCTTAATATAAATAAATTTTTTGTTTGAAATACGAGCCAAATTAAATACAAATCAAAAGATAAAAAATTTATTTTAATACAAAAATATATGAGCTTATTTAAGAAAAGTTAAATAGTTAAAAGATCACAACGTTCATGGTTTCTAGTTTATAGGTAGCTAGAGATGTGTTGTGTTGTTCTCTTCCCTGAGTGTGGAAAATCTCAGTTCACTGGAACCTGACGTCAATCAATACGTAATTAGAGCACAAAGAGGACAGGTGAGTTTTCTGATCAGAATTTATCACTTCTTTGGCATCAATTTCAATCCATACACTTGACTCCCCTAGTTCTCCATTTGCTCCAAATAAAAGCAGCGCAGGAGACAGAAATGGATCCCTCATCAAACGACATCAATTCCTCTGAATCTGTTGAAGATAGTCAACCTCAGCCAGCTGAGAACATCACTTATATGGACGTTGCTTTGTATGAGGCTGCAGCCGGAGGCAAAATTGAAAATTTCAATAAGTACAGAGGGTTTGAACTTGAGTCGCTACTGACCCCGAACCACAACACGGTGCTTCATATTTACTTGGCAACCGATGTTCTTTCTCGTGTGCTGGGTTCGGATAAGAAGTACTCCGAATTTGGACCATTCACGCGAATCATGTTATTCCCACTTACTTCTATTTATAAATTAATTCTCATACCTTCACATGTAAAGCAAGTCCAAATTGCAAAATGGAGATTCACAACCAGTTTTATCAAACAGATTCTTGACAAATGTCCTTCACTGCTACTGCAACCCAATGCTAAAGGTCAAACTCCATTACACATTGCAGCGAGGTATGGACATTTTGCTATTGTGAAATTTCTTATTAATCGCGCAAAAGCTCCTCATGGAGACCTAGAGAGGCCGGGAATGGAATTTGAAGCAGTCAGGCAGATGCTCAGAAAGACGGATCTGGAATCCAACACTGCTTTACACGAAGCAGTTCAATATGGTCATCTTGAAGTGGTGCAAGCATTGCTAGAGTTTGAAGACCCAGATTATTCATATTCTGTTAATAGAAACGAGGAGAGTCCACTTTACATAGCAGCTAGGAGAGGAGTTGGTCATTAATATTGCCCCACTTGCTCTAGATCCAGACTCCGTTCCAAATACTTTCAGGAAAAGCATTTACTATACAGTGTATAGTCAATTAAAAAGTTGGTTCATTGACATTTTTTTTCCTCTTTCCTGGTTTTAGGGGCAACAAGAATAATATTGAAGAAGAAAAGGAATTTGACACGGGAAACGGATGAAAATGGACAGACCCCACTTCATTATGCTGCACACTTAGGTCACTATTCAGTTGTGAAAGAGCTTTTAAAATGTGATAAATCTGTAGCCTATATAGCTGATAAAAAATCGGAGATGACAACCCTTCTTATGGCAGCGAGGCAAGGCCATGGACGAATAGTAAGAAAGATTATTTCAGTTGTCCAGATTGTTGTGAAAAGGTGGACAAAAGAGGTTGGAATTTACTTCATTTTGTGGCAGTTAGACACTCACCCCTTGAATTAAAACTATTTCTAGAAGGTGAACTTGGGACTGCGTACCCATCAATAAAAAATCTTAGAGATGAGAAAGATGCCCGTGGAATCACACCTCCACAAGTATATCTTGCATCTCTACCTGGTTTTGACCGGAGAGTTAGACTACCGTTTTCCAAGAACAAGCCAAGTAGGAAGCAAAGGGTAAGTCTGTTGAACCTGGATGCATATAAATATATATATATATATATATATATAACATATATATATATACACACGTATATATATGCGTTACTGTTAGAGGTGGCCTACCATACGCCTTTCTAATTACATAATTACTATAAAACTTTATATATATATATATACATACACATATATGCGTTACTGTTACCATACGCCTTTCTAATTACATAATTACTATAAAACTTTTCCAAGAAATTAGTTAATTAAGACAACTAATCAATTTCATCCTCCTAGTTTTACTTCCGGAGTGCTCCCTACAAAGATCAAACCTAAATTAATATGGAACTTGTTCCTTACCAACTAGACTAACCCTTAAGGGTGCTTGAGTCAATTAATTTACTCCCTTGACACATATATTTATGAAAATAAAGTTGGTAAATTTATAAAATTAAAGAAAAAATATAGTAACTTATATACAAGACTTACTATTTATTCTAAACACACTTTAAAACAACTTCTCCATGTTCAACGATATATTCTAACTGTATAGACTTTAATAAATAATCTAAAACTCGTGTCCTTATTTATTACAAACATATTTTACAATTAATTATATGTTTATTCTAGACATATGGCTTTATGGTTAACTGCTTCTGTTCATAGATTGTTATTCTTAGTAACAGGGGAAGAAAGTGCTTTCTTAGTATCTTCTGAGAAATTAAAAAAAAAAAAGAAAAGAAAATAGAATTTGAGTTTTGAAGGTAAATAACATAATGAATGATAATCAACTAACTAATGTTGTAGGAACAAATTGTGAAATTGCTGGAAGATATTACTAATGAAGAAGTGGCCGAGGCACCAGTTCGTCGCATTCCCATACAAAATGAGTGGGAAAGCTTAGAGAAGGCAAGAGAAGCTCATTTAGTAGTGGCAGCACTTATAGCAACTGTAACATTTGCAGCAGCAATAACAGTTCCAGGTGGTTACAAGAGCGAGAAAGGCCCAGATCAAGGCACTCCTTTCCTCATTCATAACACAGCCTTTCAAGCGTTTGTTATAACAGATGCCTTGGCCTTTATTTTCTCTCTCTTTGCCATCGCCATCCATTTTGGAATGTGGTTTCCTTTTATCCCATATCAATATCGTCGCACATTGTCATTTCGAGTGGCCACTACATGCCTTGGTTATGCATTGTTGGCATTGGTGATTGCTTTCTGCACAGGCACTTATGCAGTGTTACAACCTTCTCCCAGGCTTGCTATTGCCTCATGTTGCATCGGCGTCAGCATCTACTTCTTATTATGGGTAAAAAAGCTCGTTGCCTAAAAAATGTATCTATAATTATGTTAGAAAATACAAGGCTTATGAATACAAAATAATGTGTACTTGATGTTTGAACTTGTGATCTCCTTGTAGCCTCTATCTTTTGCAAGTTGAGTAGAACAAATGCATCTTTCAATCTTAAATGGGTGTAACTTCAAGGTGGGCTACAATTACCATTTTTCTTAAAGGTTTATGTTGTCTCTATCAATTACAATATGCAAAAGAAGTTGGATTGAATAGCCTCCAAGATACAATGAAAATTATGTTTGGTTTACTTTACACTAAAAAAACTAAACCACTAAACACTCTTATGAGAGACGAAAATATCTTATCTTTGATAAGGTTTTCTATGGCAAACAATGCCAAAGAAATTAGTTTATAACTAAAGAAAAATGGAAGAAAATATAAGAAGAAAAGTTCCTTTGCATTGTATAAAATAAACTCACAACAATCTCTATTTATAGAGATTTGATCCAAAAGTTGTGACTTTTTGAATGTATTGTTTCAAATCTGAATAATTAAAGATAAACTACTTTATTAAATTGATTAATCTTTTCATTCCAGGAGAAATCATTTTTCACATTTCAAAAAATTGTATTTTTCACATAGAGAAGCCGTTTCTACAAAGAACGCAATCAACTTCCCCTTTGTAATTTCAACTTTTAGAATGCTATTCGAAGCACAATAATTGACTCTTCTTTAGAGCAATTGACTCCATTCAACTTCCAAAAAGCATTTGACATGTAAGCGACTACTCCATATAGTAATAAACTTTTTTCAATTTCAAAAAGGTTCCACCATTGGCTTTTTATAGAGTAGTTGACTTCATTTTTTTAAGTAGTTTATTGCTATCATCTTAGACCTTTTTTAAAAAACTATCAAGCAATATCAATTGATTCCATTAGGGTTTGGAATCGATATTCATTTCTAGTCATAGCAATCTATTGCTTTAAAGATGGCAGTTTATTGCTTCAATAATGGTAGTCAACTGCTATTTATACAAAATCTAAGTTTAGCCTCTATTTATCAAAATAGTTGACTCCATGCCAATGGCAATCAACTACTTTTCTTGTAAGCCTAAGGCAATCGACTACTTTAAGCATGGTAATCGACTACCAATATGAGCAGTCTTCTATTTTTTTATTCTTTTTAAACTTAGAACCATTTTCTTGGAACTATAAATTAATATGATTTCTCTTTTGATTAAGTTAATTTAGTTAATCATATTATTTTCATATTTTGAAAATATTTTTAACATTTTTCCACCTATTTCAAAATAAGGCAAGTTTCAATATTCCCATGCATAGGTGAAGATATCATGTAATATGATTTAAAATCTTCACTCTAATGATAAAGTGTCATTGATCTAGCCAAATTGAATAATAGATCTTAGATCTTTGAATCAACAAATTTATGTGACTAGTCATGCACTAAACTACACACAAGACTTCAATGTCTCACCAAAGTGTCATTTAGCAATATTTTGACACAATTTCAATGGTAGCATGTCTTGTATATTCATGAGTGCTTTCAAAGTCAAGCCATTGCTTTTAGAAAGATACCATTTTCACTTATATAGGTAAACTCTATCAAGAACACAACCATATAAGCATTATAATTTAAGTTTTTATGTTATGGATTCATTAAGAGTTTATACTCATCCTTCCTTTATAATATATGATTCAAGTACTTATCTACTTTATGATGGTTTTAAATTAAAAGTACTTGCAGTCTCATACATATGATTACTTTGACTCATTAAAACTTAAGACTTAATGTGAAATTGTTAATTTGAGGTTTCATCATGTTAATGGCTTAAGTCCCATCTCTTTTAAAGCTTTAGACACTATATCTCTTGATAAACCTTTTGTTCATGGATTTGCCAATTTTTAACTTGACTAAACAAAATCAATAGTGATCACCTCATTTTTTATGAGTTGTCTAACATTGTTATACCTTAAACCAATATATCTAGACTTCCCATTATATATTTGGCAATAAGCCTTCGACAATGTAGCTTAACTATCATGATAGATAAAAATTTACGACATTAGTTTTGGCAATAAAAAAATTTCAAGAAGTAAATTCCTTAACCACTTTACTTTTTGCAAACAGAAGGTAATGCCACAAATTCTAATGCCATAGTAGAATCTATTATGCATATTTATTTTTTAGAATCCCAAGAAACCACACCCCTACCAAATATGAATATCCATCAATTTGTGGATGAATGGTCTTCCATGTTAGCTATCCAACTTGCATCAGTGTAGACACCCATTTGTGTATGGGCCTAATTAGATTGATTTCTTTTGTATTTTTGTTATTGTAGTATATATTATAATATAATATTATGGTATACTATTATTAATATTACTAATATTATATTATTAGTATATTATTATATTTTTATTATTGTATTATTTTTATTTTCATCTTTTTTTTCTTTTCTTTCTTTTTTTTTCCTTTTTTTGTTCCAATCTGCACGTGAATAGGAAAAAAGGAATTAGGATTAGAATCCCTTGGTCAAGGTTTTAATGCAAATCGTATTAATACGATATCTGAAATTTTAGACCAAAAATCACACTGGACAAAATTCAATCCCGAGATTCAAGCTTGGGATTGATTCTGTCGTTTCCTAAAATTATTTCAGGATAGCCTATAAATTGAATCAGCTCTACAGAGGATGACATATAGAAAAATTATTAGAGAGAAAGGTCTGGAAAATTTTGGGCAATGGGAGTATTCTAGAAGTTTGATTTTGGGATTTTGTGTTTAATCTAAATTTTTTAGGTTTGATTTTAGGTTTCTGGGGTTAGAATTAGGATTTCGGATAATTTTGGAGTAATCAAGATAAATTTGAGAGAAATTTGAAAATATTTGAAGAAATCTAGGCTTTTTTTTAGAAATTTTTAGGTTTTTTTCTGGGTTGGGACGAATTTTTTTATGGTTTTTTCGGCAACGGTTTGAAGTTTCCAGTGAGATTCTAACAAGATTCCTAAAAACTGACAAAGATTTCTAGATTTCGACAGGATTTCTAGAATTCAACAAAGTTTCTAGATTCCATTTGAGTTTTCGAGTAGGTTTTTTAGAAAGAGGGGAGAGAATTTTAAAGCTAGAGAGAGTGTGGCATGAGTGATTTTGAAGAAAACACTAAAGCTTTAGTTTTTATACTGCTGTAGTACGACACCATTTCGAAAGCCCTGACCCACGGGTAACCTAACAAGGATTCGCGCATTGACCCTGGTATCGACCCAACTTGATCGCATGTTTTTTTTTTTCATTTTATTTTTATTTTTTGATTTGATTTTATTTTTAACTCATTTTATTTTATTTTGTTTTATTTTAAAGAAATTTTATTTCTGCCATTTTATTTTTGAAAGTAAATGAATTTTTTTTAAATAAATGATTCTATAAAAAATCTTTTAAAATAAAGTTTTCAAAATAATAAAAAATCATTTTTTAAGTTTTCAAAAAAAATATTTTAAAAGAGAACTTTTCAATAAAAATAAAAAAAAAATCATTTTCAAATCCTTACAAAAAAAAATCATGAATTCCACCAAACTATTGGAGAATTTTCATGGGTTTAATTTTTAAAATGGAATCCATCAAACTATTAAGAAATTTCATATATCAATTATTCAAAAATAATAATAAAAATAAATAAAACTAAAATTTACCCTTTAAATTATTGGAGGATTATTTTTAAGTATTACTAAACTATTAGGAGACTTCACTAATTTTTTTGAATAAAAAATATGTTAATAAATTCAATGACAGAGCCTTTTTAAAATAAATGTTCTTGAGGTAAGAAAATTACCTTGAATTGCTACTAAACTATTGGGATAATTTTAAGACTGATTTTCAATATTAAATATTTTGATAAATTACAAACGTGTTCAAGGCTTAGATAATTGGAAGTTAAACTGGTATCATTCTTTGGATGGGCTTGTGGGGGTGCTATAACCTTCTTTATGCATAATCGACTCCCGGACTTAACATCTGGTTTCGTGGATCAAAATATGTTTTAGGTGACCAATCACACCTAAACAAAAAAGATTTATGGTGACTTCTCTCATCCATGTCTAGTGATAGATTCACGGATCTATATGTTACGATAGTTTGGTGACTCCACTAGGGACCTCGAGAGTCAAGCAAGTAAATGATTCCTTGTTATCCAGGCCTTGCTTAATAAATTTGAGATTTCTTATACTTGCTTAGTTATTTATTTTTTATTTTTTTTCATTGTTTATACCTAATTAATTATTATTTATTTTGTTCTTTTCCTGGCTTATACATGCTCAATTAATTATTTATCGTTTATATATTTGTCATTCATTTGCATATGCATAACATAAGCTCTCCACCCAGGCTTTAACTTTGGGAGGGAGTGAAGTACCTATGCCCTCGTGAGATTTATGTCTTTGCATAGGCCTATGAAACACTCCTACTCAGATTGAACTCTTTAAGCTTATAGCCTATGATGGGCGAAGATTGAGGTGCCTTACTAGTCTGTAACGGACCATGATGTAAGGAACAATTTGGAAACCTTTTAGAATTGACCTAAATTGTATATAGTCAACCTTAAGAGCCCAACCATAGATAGAGCCTTATCCTCCCCACTTTGTAGTTAATCAAAATTCAAGGTCATGTTGTTATCTTGCTTACTATATGGTGTTTATTCTATGTTTTATTGAAATGACTAACTAATTTCTTTGTCTTCTTTTATTTTTTTTTCTTTTTGTGCATATTCATAAACATGCTTATAGATTAGATAGTGTTTTTACCCCAAAAGTTATTTTAACAAAAGCTTTTATGGACTCCACAAAACATTAGGTTTGTGCCTTATCTATACTATTCAAATGTGACTTTCCCATAGATGTAAAGATAAAATTAGAGAAGAAGTAGTAAGAAGAAGGAGATTGTTTGCCACTTGATTATATCTCTACACTGCCAAAAGAAGTTCACTTGCTTCTCAAACAGAATGATTTGAAAAGCTTATTAGATATGACGTCTTCAAGGCAAGAAGCATTATGTCAGAAGTTTAGGCATATTGTACATCTCTTGTCAGTAGATGTTGATAACTCACTCATTAAAGTGCTGATACAGTTCTAAGATCCTTCCTACCATTGCTTCATCTTTAATGAGGTTGATTTGGTGTCAACTATAAAAGAGTACTCGAGTTTAGTGGGCATGCATTTACTATATCTAGACAAAATATATGTGAAGAAGCACAAGTTAGAGAATCACAAGAAATTGGGCTAGATTTTAGGAGTGGAAAAAGAAATCATAG